TGGACATTATTACTTTGTTGTTTGTTCTCATTTATAAAAGCAGCTAAACTGAGTATGGAATTTATCCCTCTTGTGTCACCAATCTTCTGCTCAGATACTGTGAGGTACAAAGAAAGTCCTATTTTAAATTTCAACCCACCTGTCACCGTCATAATCCTGTTGATTTCCCAAATCAACTGGGTATGAAAGAACTGTGGTGTAGTGGTTGAAGCCAAAGTAATCGTGGGTCCCTTTGATCCTCTTGATTTCGTCAGGCGTGAACTCAGGAAGCCTTTAATTGAAACAAGAATCTTTTCAAAACCCAATCAAGGATTTCTCCATAAATATCAAAGATTTACTCTAATATTCATCTGTTACGTAGAGTGCATACTTTTTAAAGCAATTTCTCAACCAAATAAAGAAAACGAATGGTGGAAATGGAGATTGAGTATGACAGAATACATTTATTGATGTAGGCTTCAACCCCGTGTAAGTTATGTAGTCAATATTTATAATTTACCGTGATTTAGGGAGACCTGCAGCAAGGCTTCTTTTCCGAACGATTGCTTTCATTAAGTCAGGATAATCGCCATTAAAGATTGGATGGGCAAACCAGCCAATGTAAAACTGCAGAGATAATATATTAGACATGATATGTGATTAATGAGGTGAATTAGGGTGGGAAAACCTGTATAAAGTGGACGACCCAGTTCTCTGGTGTCAACATTTGTTCGTCTACCTGCAAGTAGCGCTCGGCTGCATCCACATCCTCCCGCTTATATGGATTCTTTGGCTCCACCCAATCAGAATTGATGGTGATGGAGATGATGCCACCCTATTGTGAGCGGTACTTGTCATTGTAGAGGTGCCAGGCCTCAGCATGGGCTTTGATCAGGTTGTGAGCTGCAATATACTGCTTACCCACAATGCCTGAAACACTTTGTTAAGATTCAAGTAATTTGTCATCATAAAGTGTAAAGATTTCCAATAAAGCACATTTAAAACCATTAGTAACCAATGTTTTTTTTCGTGGTTTAAAATGTGATCTAAAAGTTATGTTAACTTTGATTATCTTTGTAAAGGTTTCTCGATGATGAGTTACAAAAAGATGTGACTAAAAAATGGGAAAGTAGGTCATTTCTATAGATTTAAAAATATATCAGCAGTACAGATTCATTTAAAAAGAAAGTTTTCCACACTGAGATAAAAATGTGTTAATATTGTACGTATTTCAGGAGAAACTTGTTTGATTACCTGGAGCAAAGGTACCATATCCATAGCTAAGGTTGGCTACAATGTAGGGTTCATTTAGAGTGATCCAGAACTTCACCCTGCTTCCAAGTCGGCTGAATAAAACATCGGCATAATTTCTGGACAATTGTTTCATTCTCCCAACCTCCTTCTTTATGTAGAGCTAGGGGGAAGTGCAAGTAGTACAGGGTCACCTGAGAAAACGAGGAGAGGAAATTTGTTCTACATATATTTCCTACAGGTGATTTTGTTTTACCATTTGGGGGCAAATTGTATAGTGCTGTGGCGAAAATATTTTTTCTTGACGAATTTGATACTACAACTAGAAGCTATCAATGTCCCACATTTTCAAATACAGCACGACATAGGAAGCATTAGTTGTAATAAACAACAGCACTACCTGGGGCTGAATATTAGCAGCTTCCAAGGCTTCCAGTAATCTATTATAATAGTTCAGTCCTGCTTCATTGATGTTGTTGTTGTTGGTGCCTTCAGGAAGCACTCTGGGCCAGGATACAGAGAAACGATAGTGGGTCACCTTCAACATCTTCAGCACCTCCACATCCTCGTCATTATTGTTGTAACTATCACAAGCAGTTGCCATTGCCACTGTTGGCCACTCTCAAAGGAGTATGGGCAAACTTGTCCCAGATACTCAGTCCTTTTCCATGAGCCCTCCAGCTCCCTTCAATCTGTAATGAAAGACAAGTTCAGTACAGTACCAGCCATGGTTAACACTACCTGTATGCTTAATCCTTGTGTAATGATGAAGACATACCTTAAAATATACCTTAATTTATTTATTTTTTTTATTATACTATATTGATCCCGTCAGGGGGGAAATTTGTACGCAGTCTGTACGCAGACTCATCACCGTCCCTGATGAGGACGATGACCGTTGTGTCATCTGCGAACTTCAGGAGTTTAACAGATGGGTCCTCTGAGGTGCAGTCGTTGGTGTAAGGGAGAAGAGCAGTGGGGAGAGCACACATCCCTGGGGGGCGCCAGTGCTGATAGTCCGGGTGCTGGATGTGATTTTTCCCAGCCTCACCTCTGCCTCAAGCTCTGCCATCTACAACGGAAGATAAGATAAAACACTTCCAAAATGAGATGACATGCCAAAGTAACTCTACTTGGTCATGGTGATTATATTGTAAATACTGTAATAAATTACACAAAGGAAACTGACAGGACATTATTTGTGTACATGTTTTAAAGAAATACAAATACATCAAGTAAATGTGTATAAAATCGTGTGCAAGACATCTCTATTTGATGTTCTGGTGCAGCATTTGTAAAGCTTCAATCATTTTATGGAGTATGTGCATCATACATTGTGGTTTTTTTTCTTATTTCAGGCTACTTAATTGGGAAACTGTAAGGACAAATAAAAGATAATACCATACTTAATTACACAACACTTTACACAAGAATCTTCAGCTCTCCACTTATATTATCCAAGCTTGATGCATTATGCAATAAAATTGATCTCCTACCTCTGCCAGGAAACAGTTGGTGGTAACGGCGGTAGACAGCGGTGTGTGCATCAAGAGCATTTTGCAGCTCAACACCCTTCAGCTCTTCCAAGCTGCTCAGTGTCACCAAGGAGTCTGCCATCCCTCCAAACTCTCCGAACGCAAACTCTGCATACAGCTGAAACATACCAGCTCCTGGCTCTCCCAGCCTCCATACCTTGATCTAAGAGTGTCTGGCACTGTGGATCCATGAAGGACAACCAGAGGCTGAAGGCCTACCTCCAGCAGCTGTTTCAGCAGTGTCTTGTAACAGGTAACCACAGCCTGCTGCGGTTGGTTTGGGAAGCCGGTAGGTAGGAGGTGAGCCCATGAAAGTAGCACTTTGAAGTGGGTCACCCCTCTGTTCTGGAGGTACTCAATGTTCTGTTTAGAGCCTGGAGGTATGGGATGACTGCAGTCAAATGTGTCCGACACTGAGGGTTTGCCATACAGGCCCCTCATCTGTTCATCGGTCACAGGACCTGCAAGAAACATGGCCTGATGATGCTGATCATGTGTCTGGCACATGCAGCCATACACAGTGATCACAAACAGGGAGAGAAGTTTCCCCAGTGACAACATATTGTCTGAGCGCAGGGGACTGAATGAACCATTGGATGGCTAAACCTTTATAGCACCGCTGTTTACGATCTTGAACTTTCAGTCAGACCAGAGTTTAATAATTGACATTACTGTCTGCAGGGGTCCAAATTGCTGTGATACTTTATGACGTGTTTCGTAAGAGTGGTCACAGCCTTGAATGATCCTGATAAAAAAAACTAACGGTCAAACAAGAGGCAGAAGAGATCTGTGATAAAAGGTTCAAAAGAACAAGCAAATGTGTATAGAGGTCAAGGATGAAATTCCCGAAAAAGATAAAGCTTGAATTCAGCCAGTGCAAACCCCAGAACAAGGGGACAGTATACTTACAGATCGCTGACGTAAACTATAGCCCGACGCCACACATGAAGATATGATACACATGAGATAGCAGTGTTATTTTGACCGGTTCTCAGAGTTTCAGCAGTAGTAGAGGTGAATTTCTGAGCAGATTTGTTTGGAGCAGGTGGCCAGGTACTACACATTGCACCTTTAAATGTCTATAGAGAGACTGTTTATAGTATGTAATATTTGCGTGTTCAGTTGTAATTGTTGTAAATTTGCGAAACCACTGTTGCCCGTTAAACTACGTACTGTGCGTTTTAAGTGTTTGTGTGCATCACTTGTTGTGGTTTTGACTTCCATTATGATGTCAAACAGTGTGGTATTATATCCATTTTTATTTTTGTCACAATTAACCAACAAGTTTTCATGTTGCTAGAATATTGCTGGAATTTTGATTACCCCACAAACTTTCATGGCCGTCAAATTCAATATACTATGGATTGAAAAAAAGTGTTTTTATTACTGTAAGATTTTATGGATTCAATACAAAATAATATAATATAATATTTTTTTTCATTTATTTGGATATCACTTTTCTTAACAATGTTACAAAGTATTTCACAGCAGCATTAAAAAACATCAGTGCATCATTTGTAACATCCAATTTGTTTTCTGAAAAATACAGAGGGCAACAGGGAAACAAAACACATAATTACAATGTAATCAATATCATATTGCAGAATTACATCAAAGTAGAGAGAAAACGCACTGCTCTATGGGGGTCATTGTTTCTCTTTCAGTCGGCCACAGTGATCCATGTATAGTTTGTGCAGATGTGCTTTACATTTCCAAAGTGGTTTGGAATCACGCAAGACTCAAACAGCATAAGGCATGAGTATATGGCCTTCTGTGCATTTGTGTTATTCTATAAAAATGATATGGAGTCTAGTACGTGTTCTCCAATTATTTGTTGAAGCAAAATTTCAAACACTTTTTCCTTTGGTTAATCCAAAAAAAAACAATGCTGATAAGAGTTTATGATGGATACTGTAATAGCTGTCACATGCTTGAGTTGGTCTAAAACGAACAAGATTAGCTGGTGTGAGAGATTCCATTGCACATGTAGGTTCCTTTACTTTGGCTCCCAAGATGTGTTTCTTACTTGTGTTGCTTCCAATCTAAAATATGTTATGTTCTCTCTCAGACTCTGCATGCTGATGTAGAAATTTACATTTTCACAAAGCATGTTGTAACAACATATTTCCCAGTCCTCAAACATGAGCACAAGAGAGGGATGCACTTATCACTTGACATGTGCGAGTCCAGAGTCTTCCTGACCGTATCACAATGCTGCAATAAAACACCGTAATATGCACCACTTGGCTGTGATATCCATCTCTTAATTGTGTAACAATGCAATAAGAAGTAAACAGAATTGCTTTAAAGCGCTTGGAAATCAGTGGATAATATGAGTCCATCTTTTTGAAGCCAGAATGAAGTACCTATTGTGGGTTGCTTTTCTGTTCGTTTTTTGTCTGTATGGTTGCCGGAGCAGTGAGGTGATTGGACAAGAGGACTTCCTGCTTGTTGCAGGCCCTCTGGCAAAGCAGCTGGTGAGAAGCTCAGGCAATACGGGGAAGGATGCGTTCGACTGCAGTCATCCCATACCTCCAGGCTTTAAACAGAACTTTGAGTACCTCAAGAACAGAGGGGTGACCCACTTCAAAGTGCCGCTGTCATGGGCTCAACTCCTACCTACCGGCCTTCCCAGTCAACCGCAGCAGGCTGTGGTTACCTGTTACCAGACCCTGCTGAAACAGCTGCTGGAGGTGGGCCTTCAGCCTCTGGTCGTCCTTCATGGATCCACAGTGCCAGAGACTCTGAGATCAAGGTATGGAGGCTGGGAGAGCCAGGAGCTGGTAGAGATGTTTCAGCGGTATGCAGAGTTTGCCTTTGAGGAGTTTGGAGCACTAGCACACTCATGGGTGACACTGAGTGACTTGGATGATGTTTGGCATGACGGGCAGCCTGCTCTGCAAAATATCCTCCAGCTCAACAAGAATATTTACCAGATCTACCATCAACAGTTTCCTGACAAAGGTAATTTAGATTTATTTATGTCCTTTTTTACAGGATTGGTTATTTGTTACTATCTTTTGATACGAAACAAGAACATGAATTATTTTTTTGTCAACCTTAACCATTTCACATATAATGTAATCATTAATATATTATGTGGTATTGTCTTTTCAATGTGTTTTGAGAAATGTAAAAAGGAGTACTTTACGACAAACTGATAATCTTTACCCTTTACCCCATTATTTATGACATAGATTATATGTGTAGATTGCCATGCATATCTCAATAGTCAATGCAGGTGAGATCAATAAAATAATCTAAGCATGCATTTCACTGCACAGCTGTGAAATGTATTTGTGCTTTGTCAAAATATCCTCATTGAAAAAGGGCCTAGGGTCCTTGGAATATATTGTGTTCAGAGTGCCTTTATGCTTCAATTTTCACAGTGAGACGTCTGTCAATCGGACTGAGAACTAGTGATGCTGCAATTCTTCCCCAGATCAAAGGTTCATCTCCAGTAAGATGCATTGTTTGTTCTCTTATATATCTTTTATTTATTTATTTATTTATTTTTCAGGGACAATGCACACAAATCAACAGTTGCACTGTAAGTGAGCCAGAGTTAGCCAGAGAGGCTAATTTCCATCTGCTGTCCCCGGCCAGATGTTTCAAGGCAGCCTAAAATAACAAAATCTCAAATTGAAACGGAATTAAAATTCATAGAAAAACGGACAGCAACGTATAGACAAAACCAATACACAGCAAAAGAAAAGTATATGACATTAAAGCAGAGCAGACATAATAGGTTTCAGCATGCGTCACGCAGAACCGACTCACCTACAGGACAAGCACATATATAACACTGAAGCACATAACATACACATAAAGAAAATGGAAAATAGCAACACTGAACAAGAGAAATGCACATATAGGCGAAACAAGCAGGCACGACAGACAGCACATCAATGCTTGCACACCTGATTGGCAACAAGCCATTCCTTGAAGTTATGCTTGAATGTTTTGTACGTGTTTTGTGTGCGTATGTGTGGTGGCAGAGCATTCCATTTTAAACGTATTCCTTCTTTATATAATTTACTTTAGATGCTATTGCTATAAGGCTCTAAATGAAAACCATTTGAGAATAGTAAATCAATATCAAAATAAGTGGTTTGTCGTGTTCGCCTTAATATTTTGTATATTTGCTAATTTATTTACATAAATAAGCTTACATTTTGTCACATCCCCTTGCAAACCTAAAATGTAAAAACGAGTATATTAGTGGTTGTGTGTATGAAAGGGACGGACTACACCAAAAGACTTGCAGTTGTTTCGACCTCCTTGTATCTTTCCTGTCACGCTTCCTCCATCAAGAAGTGATGGTATCATCTTGGCGAGGTCCTGTTCGTGCCTTATCTTCTGTATTTGTTTCAGCGTATTCCAAAGTGTATTGTCAGCATTTCAACTTGTTTTTTATATCTCTTCTTATCTTAACTCTTTGGTAATTAGTGCTCAAGTATTCTGTGTCAGCAACTTGTTGCCCATGCTTGTATCTGCACTCTTACACACATTCATTGCAAAATAACTGGTATACAGCTATTTCACGAATTGGCCGGCTTGTGTCTTATGCAACGGTATGTCAATTCAGGCCTCATGGCAATACAAATGAAACAAGCACCTTTTTTTCATTAACATACATGAGTGGGATAACATACAGTGCTGTGTCTCCTATTTTGAACAGATGGATTTCTTGTCAGTGCACATCGAATACAACTGTGCCTCTACATCAAACTTTGCAAAGGAGCTAAGCAGCTTACAGGTAAGAATACAATAAAAGGTGTTTCTTTTCACATTGCATTTCATATTATGTAACACGCTGCAGCCACATGCATGTTATGTTTTAGATGTCAAGTGGGGACCTGCCAATCCTGATATACGAGGTGGCTGTTCATGGTTGTCCCGACAGTCAATACCAGCTTCTTGGCAATTTCTTACAGGGTAAATGTCATTATAGCTGACCTTATATGATTCTGTTATACAGTATTGTTCATATAACTTGAAAGTTTTTTTTGTCATATTTGCTGAAACTGTCACTATTTCCTTACAATAGTACATGAGAGGGATAATCTGTAAAACAATCAGGTTCCTTTGCGTCCTCTTAGTGATTTTTGCAATTTGCAAGATTCAACCAAGGAAAACAAACAATCAGAGTTGAGAAGTATCTGACGCAGCTGTCAATCACTGCTCACATAGGTTGAGAACTCCGATCAAACTAGGCAGCGCTGTTGAAATATGAATCAATATTCTGTTACCTTCGTGTTCTGTTATTTTGTGTTGAGTTCGGGTTATAGTCATTGTGCATAAAGTTGAAAACTTGTATAATAATAATCAACATAATCTGTTTTTACTGACTAAACAGATCAAGGGTAGCTTGTTGTAAATTGCAATATTATTAACTTTTACAATACAATAATAATGGGAGTGTTATTGGGAGTGTTATCATATGTCATTGTCCAGTGTAAATTCTTCTTGTTATGGTCCGGTAAAGTTTTACAAGGGCAATCACATCCATGGTGGAGCACAGCCGGAGGACTTCCTTTGCTCTTTATAAGTTAATGCATAAAACACAACACAGTGTGTTTAGCAGGCAATACCTATTATTTAAACATTGATTTCAACTGTAATGTTGCAAGTAAATTGGTTTGATGCAGAGTTTAAAACAGATGCCTAAATGACATTTGGTACAGGCATGCATGTCCCCCTCAGGATAAAATCACAATAACTTTAGTGATTCTCTAACTTTTTATCTTTAAGTAGAAATATCACTTTTTCCAATATTTTAACTTAAAACCAAATACCTGCCAAGCTAATGACATTCCCTACAGCCTTAGCTGTACTTTGAGTTTAGCTAATTAGCTGTAACAAAAAGGAATGTATCTTTTTAATTCTACATATTATATTAATGTTGATCATATAACTGTTAGTAACTTTGTCTTGCATTCATCCCAGCCTTATTGAACAATAACCTGAATATTGTGGGATGTGACATGATGGATATGTTGGGTAAGCTGGACATGGAGGACGTCCCAACCAGGTAACTGTTTTTCTTGGTGAAATATACAGTTTCATATATACTGACAAAACTTGTTTCTCCTCGTATGTTTACACTGTTTTATGTCCTCTTTTCCAACAGTCATGGTATTTCGTACTACAATAGAATTAATATATTTAAAAACAGTTATCGGAATGTGTGGAATAAGTTTGGGGCCCAGACCATAACAGAACGAGACCTTTTCCTCAATGAATCATTCCCGTCAGGCTTCCAATGGGCTACCTCCAGTGAGTCCTTCAAGGTTGAGGGAGGCTGGTCAGAAGGTGGGAAGGGAGAGACCATTTGGGACCGTTTTGGTCATGACGGCCTAGCATTTGCCAATCAGACAGCTGATCTAGCTAGTGACAGTTACCACAAGGTGGATTATGATGTCTACCTCCTGCGAGGTCTTCATGTCAACACCTACCAGTTTTCCATCTCCTGGGCCCGTATTTTCCCCTCAGGCCACCGGGGAAGCCAATCAGAGAAAGGGGCTCTCTACTATGACAAGCTGATCAACGCTCTCATTGAGTCTGGCATACAACCTGTAGTCACTCTCTACCACTGGGATCTGCCCCAGACACTCCAGGACTATGGTGGATGGACCAACACTTCCATTGTTGAAGCCTTCAAGGACTACGCAGACTTCTGCTTCTCCAGGTTTGGAGACAGGGTCAAGACATGGAACACATTCAGTAGCCCCTGGGTGGTGAGCCATGCTGGGTATGGCACTGGTGAGCATCCCCCTGCAGTCAAAGACTATGTGGTTGCCTCCTATCAGGTGAGGGCAATGGTCTAATGATAATATAAATATTCACAAATTAATTTGTATTCTTATACATTTACACCACTATTTATTTTGCCTTCACAGGCCACTCACAATATGCTCAAGTCTCATGCTGAGGCTTGGCATGTCTACAATGACAAGTACAGAAAGACACAAGGGGGGAAAGTGGGCATTGCATTGAACTCTGACTGGGCTGAGCCCATGGACCCCTCCAGACCTGAAGACATAGCAGCTGCAGATCGCTACCTGCAGTTCATGCTAGGCTGGTTTGCACATCCTATATTTGTAAATGGAGATTATCCTCCAACACTCAAGACTCAGATTGAACAGAAAATAAATGAGTGTCCCCTCTCTGAGCCTGCAAGACTTCCAGTTTTCACTGCTGAAGAGAGCCAGAGGATACATGGAACAGCTGACTTCTTAGGATTAAACCACTATACCTCCCGGTTGGTCAACAACAGTATTGGTGGCTGTACCCCTGGTCCTGAGGGGGTGGGTAACTTCCAGGCACATGTGGACCCTTCATGGTCTTCTACAGCTTCTGACTGGATCTATTCTACACCTTGGGGTCTCAGAAGACTTCTTAACTATATTTCCTTAGAATACTTGAATGTTACCAAATTGCCTATCCACATAACTGGGAATGGTATGCCTACTGAGCACACTGGGGACACTCTCAATGACACCGGTAGAATAGAGTACATGAAGAGTTACATCAATGAGGCCCTGAAAGGTAAGTGTCTGGAATTTCTCTGATCGGAAACCACTTTTTACAAGGTGTTAAAAATATTGTCAGCTTTAATGTGCTGTTGTGTGTCTATTTTCTAGCAATATTCATAGATGGAGTGGATGTGCAGCGATTCACAGTGCAGTCACTCATGAATGGATTTGAGGGAGAACAAGGTTACAGCCAAAGATTTGGTCTTCACCATGTCAACTTTGAAGATGCAAACAGACCAAGAACCCCAAAGCAGTCTGCATATTTCTATTCTCAGGTTATCAAGCAAAATGGATTTGGTTCACATAAAGGGCATGCTTTTAAAGTATCAGAGATGCAACTCAACCGCCGTCCAATGGCTTTATCACCCTCTGACGTCCCATCTAAATCCAAGGTTGTCTGGGAGGAATTCTCAAACCAGTCAAAATTCCAGAGAAAAATGTACCACTATGGCACTTTCCCACAAGGCTTCAGTTGGGGAGTGTCATCTTCAGCTTACCAGATTGAAGGTGGCTGGAATGCTGATGGGAAGGGGCCCAGCATCTGGGATGCATTCACCCACAAACCTGGCAGTATTCCTGCAAATGCCAATGGAGATGTGGCCTGTGACAGCTACCACAGACTTGAAGAAGACTTCTACATGCTGCGAGCTCTAAGGGTGAATTCATACAGATTCTCTTTGTCCTGGTCCAGGATCTTTCCCGATGGTCGGCTTACCTCCCAGAACCAGAAAGGTGTTGACTACTACAATAGACTAATTGATGGTCTCTTAGCATATAACATCACTCCCATGGTGACTCTCTACCACTGGGACCTTCCTCAAGCTTTGCAAGACCTTTGTGGCTGGGAAAATGTAGAGATGATTAACATTTTTAATGACTTTTGTGACTTCTGCTTTGCCACCTTTGGAGACAGAGTGAAATTTTGGATGACCTTTAACCAGCCTCACACAATTGCGTGGTTAGGATATGGACTTGGACAGATCCCACCAAATGTTAAGAATCCAGGTATTGCACCATACACAGTTGCACACAACCTTATAAAGGCACACGCCAAGGCTTACCACACATATGACGATAAGTATCGCAAATCCCAAAGTGGTCTAGTATCCATCGTCCTCAATGCTGATTGGATCGAACCTAAAGATGTTAATGTTCCCCGTGAGGTGGTGGCTGCTGACCGCGCTCTGCAGTTCCAACTAGGTTGGTTTGCACACCCCATTTTCAAGAATGGCGACTATCCAGATGCAATGAAGTGGCAAGTTGGAAACAAGAGTGAACTCCAAGGTCTTTCAGAGACAAGACTACCTTCCTTCACTGAAGAAGAAAAGACCCTCATCAAAGGAACTGCTGACATGTTCTGTGTAAATCATTACACTACAAAGATTGCACGCCATGCTACTTTGAGGCTTTCCCCTCAATCCTATGAATATGACCGGGACTTGTCAGAAGCAGAGGAAGATGATTCACCAACTACTGCCATCAGTAACCAGAGAGCTGTAGCATGGGGCTTGAGAAGACTCCTCAACTGGATCAAAGATGAGTATGGAGATCCAGAGGTTTACATTACTGAGAATGGAGTAGCTACAGAATCAAAGACAACTTGGGATGACTCTGCCAGAGTGTTTTATTACAAGACCTACATTAATGAGGCTCTGAAAGGTACACCGATGTAAATACATGTGTGAAGATAAATTATATGATTATCATGACTGTTCAGATTTTTAGTCTTGATCATTTATTTGTGTATGTATGTTTTAATAACAGCCTATGACCTTGATGGTGTGAAGGTAAAAGGATACATAGCAACATCACTCATGGACTCTTTTGAGTGGCTTAATGGGTACAAACTAGGATTTGGTTTGCACCATGTGGACTTCACCAACCCAAACCTGCCGAGAACACCCAAGTACTCAGCCCATTTCTACTACCAAGTTATAAAGGACAATGGTTTCCCTACACCAGATGATGAGAAGCATATTCATGGACATTTCCGCAAAGATTTTATTTGGAGTACTGCAACGGCATCATACCAGGTAGGTTTTTGATGAAGTCCCTTCATTAATGCTGGATCAGGGATTTGCATATTCCTTGCACTGCTCTTTCCGAATTAAAACTGTGTTTTGCATTTCTTATCTCAAGATTGAAGGGGGATGGAGAGCGGATGGAAAAGGTCTCAGCATCTGGGACAAGTTTGCTCACACTCCTCTTCGAGTGTTCAATGATGACAATGGCGATATAGCCTGCAACAGTTACAATAAAGTAGAAGAGGATGTTGCTATATTGAAGCAACTTAAGGTGACCCATTATCGTTTCTCCATATCCTGGCCGAGGGTACTTCCTGATGGCACCACCAAGCACATTAATGAGGCTGGACTAAACTACTACCACAGACTGGTGGATGCACTGCTTGCTGCAAACATCCAACCTCATGTATGTGTAATTCTTGCTTCTCAGGAAATTATGCAGGTGCAATGGAAGGTTGGTTCATTTTGTAAACCTGGCTTTCCCTTTGTTGTCAGATTACTCTCTACCACTGGGACCTTCCACAAGCTCTGCAGGACCTTGGGGGCTGGGAGAAGGAGACTATTATTGTCAAATTCAGGGATTACGCTGACCTCATCTTTAGCCGTCTTGGCCACAAAGTGAAATTTTGGATCACCATTAATGAGCCGTACAATATAGCCAATGTAGGCCATGGCTATGGGGCGGCTGCCCCAGGTATGCTTTTCCGTAATGCTCTTCATCTCACACTCTCATATGCTCACTTCATTGGTGTGGAATACAGGTTGAAAAGTGACAATTTATCAAAACAGTATTGCATGGTCATGGAGTGTTTTGAAACAGTGAATTTGAACAGCAATTCTTAGTTTTGACCTTTCTAAACACCAATGACAGTGAGAAGAATACACAGCTAAAGAAACTAGAAAATGTGTCTGTTGCTCCTTGTGTATGTTTCCAGGGATCAGTTTCCGACCAGGCACTCTGCCCTACATTGTGGGTCACAACCTGCTTAAAGCACATGCTGAGGCCTGGCATCTCTACAATGACAAGTACCGGGCCAAACAGAAAGGAATTATCTCCATCACCATCAACTCTGACTGGTCAGAGCCCAGAAATCCCTATAAGCAGGAGGACATTGACGCTGCAAGGCGTGTGGTGCAGGTGCTGAAATACTTACTGTTGTTGTTACTGTTTGCAGATTCTTTTTTTGCATGCTCATTTCTTTCACATTTTACAATAGACATGAAAGTTGCAGTTAAGGTCTGTTGTGTGTCTCCTTGTGCAGTTCTACATTGGCTGGTTTGCACATCCTGTATTTAACGGAGACTACAGCAACATGATGAAGACAATCATTCGAGAGCGAAGCCTAGCTGCTGGTCTGCTAAAATCTCGGTATTATAAAAAACAACATTAGAGCAAGAAAGAGAACTAATGGAAAATTGTTTTACATTTATCTGGTAAATTTAATTAGTTTGATTTAATCTCTCCAGGCTGCCTGAGTTCACTCCTGAGGAGATTAAGAGGATTAAGGGTACCTATGATTATTTTGGGTTCAACCATTACACCACAGTCCTGGCGTTCCCTGTGAACTATGGAAACCTTCAGCACTATGATGCCGATAGGTAAGCAAGTACAAACATACCTACAGGAACCAAGTGGGAGAAGCAAGTTAACACAATCACATGGTGATGAGCTAAAGATGTACCTTAATTTTTGTGAAGTAAAACCATTTAACTGATTTAATGTTCTCAGGGGTGCAGGAACGATTGCTGATCGTACCTGGCTGGATTCAGGCTCATCTTGGCTGAAGGTCTCACCGTTTGGATTCCGCAGGATATTGAACTTCATTAAGGAGGAGTATGGAAATCCACCAATTATCATCACAGAAAATGGCATGTCAGAGCGAGGGCAGATTGACCTAAACGATATTCATAGGAGCTACTACTATGAAAAGTACATCAACCAGGTGCTGAAAGGTATCAAACCACATCTCCCATTATTTATTTTAATTGAGACCATCCACAATATCTCATGTAAAGTATCTAAGAAAAGATTGAAGTGTAATGGATCATAGCAACCTTGCTGTTTCAATACTTTTTATGTTCAAACCAAGGTACTGAATTTCTTGTGCAATGTAGAATGTATTTGCATTCCTAAAGGTGTTCATTTTCTCCTCCTAGCTTACTTACTAGATAACGTGGATATCCAGGGTTACACAGCTTGGTCCCTGATGGACAACCTAGAGTGGGCTACTGGCTTCTCAGAAAGATTTGGCCTTTTCTACGTCAATCACTCAGACCCTAAACTGCCTCGACTGGCCAAGACTTCTGTTACCCTCTACTCCACCATCATCAACTGCAACGGATTCCCGGACCCCGCCTTGGGACCCCATGAGTGTTTGAATACTGTGCCTGAAGGTAAATTGATGCATTGATGCAACCAGTACCTTTAAAGCTCACCAATTAAAATGTAATTTGTGCAAAAACCTAAGTTAAAGAAAACAAGAAGTTGTGGTTGTACGAGGGTTATGTGCTGGACTATTTCTTAGACAAAAGCACCGACTTCCTGGAGTCTTGTTTTTAGCGTATTTAACAAGAGATGTCAATATAAATCCTACACACTGTATATACAGAAAGCAAATAATGGTTATTTCCCCCTAAAATGTCACTATTTCTTTCATGGAAAACAACATTCAGTATTAGTAGACATTTAGATTTTGTGAATAGCAGATTTTCTGTTGCCACATTTACGATGTGAAAAACAAAATATATATTAACCCCTTTGTCTTTTCTACAGCAATGAGCGTGCCGATGACCACGCCGGTCACACCTGTCACCCTGGCCACGCCTGTCACGCCTGCTCCTTCTGACAACGCTGTGAGCTTCCTGGGTATGAAGCTCTCTACCAATGATGCTGAGACTGGACTTATCACCACATTTGCTCTGCTGATTGTTGCAGCATTTGGAGCTATTTGTACATCTTTTTTTTTGTTTAAGGCAAAAAAATAATTCCAAGAAAAACATTAAATCTGATCTATAAAACTGGAACGGAAATTCTGCAAAAATGCAGAGTTGTAATCAAAGTCCAACTTGCAGTAACCTGTCTGCATATTCTTATGAGCACCATTTCATAAAACTTCATGCATGTTAATGCAGATTAAATGTGTTTAGCTGCATGCTGTACAAAGATGTATTCTTCTCCCAAGCGCATGATTCAACAGATTGTTATTTTTCTTTCATTCAGTTACATCTCCAATATGTTGCTGCTCATCTCATGTTTCAGATCATGATTAAAATAATATACAAGTTGCTCATGATCCACGCTATTTACTGCTAAAACTGATCCCCTGTAGATGTATTATGGAATGTGAGCCACACTGAATCATGCAAGATCTTCCCTTCGCTTGAGGCAGCCTTACACTGCGATCAGGTACATAATAGACATAATTTGCACTTGCATTGTGAGACAAGTAAATAAATGTTTTCCCCCATGCTTGAAACACTGGATTGTGACCTGAATTGTTGCTCATTAAAGCCATGCATGAATTTATAGGAGAACAACCTCAATGTTAGGTTAAACATTTGGGAGCTGCAGCTCTGTCATTAGACTAGCTGAGGTTTTAGGAGCTTTTCATGGAGCAAAATCACATGGTCTCCTGAACCTTACTGCTGTGTCCCCAGAAGCTGCAGCTACAAACTGCAGCTGTGGTTTAGCATCAACACGGTAGAGATCAGCTGAAGCCACTAGATGTCACTGCAGGTGTAAACAGATCCTGCTGCACGCTGGTTTTCAGAGGAGATTCAGAACTTCTAAATCTTTAACCATCCAATAAAGGACAAGTTATTATATTGTCCAACTAATGTAATATCATGTCATTATACTTAAAAAAAATAAAACACTTATGCTTCAGTTCATGTTTGATGCCAAGATGAGGGTTAGTGACTGTCAAACTGGAACGGTCGATTCAGTCACAGGTCACAGACAACAAACCCAAACTGAAATCATTAAAACATTGTATTGTATGACTGATTATCGCTGCAGTTTTAATGTAAGCTAGTTGACATATTATTGATACTAGATTAAGTGTTATGGGTATGATGTACTTTTTTAGATAAAAATATAAACCTGATGCTTGTGATGATCAAAAGTGCAGCTCCTGATATATTGTTGTAGAGGCATTTCTGAATATTTACTTTCATGAATTAGTGTTAATGGTGGCTGAACTGCAAAGTAAAAACAAAACAAAAAATAAGCTTGATTGTATTATCTTTTAACCGGCCTTCAAGTTTAAAGACACACATGAGAATCCACACAGGAGAGAAACCTTTCAGCTGCTCAGTTTGTGAGAAATCTTTTAACCAGCCTTCAACTTTGAAGAGACACATGAGAATCCACACACGATAGAAACATTTCAGCTGCTCAGTTTGTGAGAAAAGATTTTTGCTCAACACAGCTCTAAAGGTACACATGAAAAGTCACACAGGAAAGAATCCCCTTTAGCCCTTTCACCCAATCACCCCTCCGCATATCCCTTCACTCATTGTTGACAAGTTGTTAATTTCATACTGTATATTCACACTGTATATTGTATATAAACCATTAAATGTTGTAATTGTATAATGACTCATTATCTGTGTATATTGAACTCCACACAATATAAATGTTCAAACTTCACAGCTTTATTTCAAAGCTCAACAATACTGGAGTAAAGCCTGTAATGAAGTCACTTAATGATATCTAGGTGACTTTGTGCAGTATTTGTTGGAATGATTTCTCTTTGGAACTTTATTAGGGCCCCGAGCACCAACAACGTCGGGCCGCGAGGTCCCTATTGAAACTGTAGGAATTATTATTATTATTAGGGCCCGAGCACCGACAAGTAAGTCTTTCACATGAGACACATTTCTGTCTCTGTTCCAATGTGGACACATTTACACTTACATGTACATTGATGTACTTGTAATTTACTGCAGTATCTCCATGTTGTACTACTTGATACTTGTACTCCACTCCAGCCCAGAGGTACATTTACTTTTTACTGCAGTATGAGCTGACGCCAACTGTAATAATGTCATGAGTGGAAGATGAAGTGACTTTCCTGAAAAGGCTGGAAGAAGAAATGCTTTGTATTAATATCAGACGAATGAACTGCTTTGCTCAACACGTTAGAACAATAGAAACATCTATAAGGACATACCTATCAACACCTAATGAGCTGAGAGAGAGAGAGAGATGTTGCTGCCTTCAGGAGCTATGGATACTAAAAATAATTGTAGGTGAAAACCGTATATACAGTGTAAGAAGCTGTGGGATTTAGTGGATATTGATAATACATTGTTAAAGCTTTGCTTGCATTGCTGATACAATCACTTCTCTGCCTTCTCCTCGTGCAGTCTTGAGAAAAAGACTTCACAGCGAAATATTGTGTTTTTTTTTTACCGCATCCCAGTTATCTGATCATTCACAAACTCCAGACCCTCCAGATGATGAAGGTCTTCATCACCAAGAGAAAAACATTTATCTGGATGCACCTGTTCAGCACAGGTACTTTGTGACTTTCTGTAGCTGATCAAAAGCCAGTTTTCCCAGAGACTCAGTCATCTTCCTGCTCTCTGGACTCCAGTGTGGATCCTTCTCAGCTCCTCCATCATACTTGACCTTCTTCAGTTTGGACTGAACCACCAGGAAGTGGATGTACATTCTCAGTCAGGGTCTTGGGTAGCTCTCCTCTCTCTCTGGTCTTCAACACATCCTCCAGAACTGTAGCAGTGATCCAGCAGAAGACTGGGATGTGGCACATGATGTGGAGGCTTCATGAGGTCTTGATGTGGGAGATGAACCTGCTGGCTTGCTCCTCATCTCTGAAGCTCTTCCTGAAGTACTCCTCCTTCTGTGGGTCAGTGAACCCTCTGACCTCTGTCACCATGCCAACACACTCAGCAGGGATCTGATTGGCTGCTGCAGGTCGTGTGATTATCCAGAGGCGAGCAGAGGGAAGCAGTTTCCCCCTGATGAGGTTTGTCAGCAGCACATCCACTGAGGTGGACTCTGTAACATCATTCAGGATCTCATTTTGGTGGAAGTCCAGAGGAAGTCGACACTCATCCAGACCATCAAAGATGAACACAACCAGGAACTCTTCAAACCTGCAGATTCCTGCTTCTTTGGTTTCACTGAAGAAGTGATGAACAAGTTCCACCAAGCTGAACTTTTTCCTCTTTCAGCACATTCAGCTCTCTGAAAGTGAATAGAAATGTGTCCTGGTTGTCTTTGTCTTCAGCCCAGTCCAGAGTGAACTTCTGTGTTAACACTGTTTTCCCAATGCCAGCCACTCCCTTTGTCATCACTGTTCTGATTGGTTCCTCTCTTCCAGGTCAGGCTTTAAAGATGTCTTCTTGTCTGATGGTTGTTTCTGGTCTGTGTGGTTTCCTGCATACTGTTTCAATGTCTCTGACCTCATGTTCATCAATGACCTCTGCAGTCCCTCCCTCTGTGATGTAGAGCTCTGTGTAGATCTGATTCTGAAGGGTTGGGTTTCCTGCTTTAGCGATCCCCTCAAACACACACTGGAACTTCTTCAGGTTAGATTTGAGTTCCCGCTGACAAACTGCAGCAAGAAGTCTTGAATGAACACAGAACAAAGAAGATCAATGAGTCGAAAAATAGATTTCAACATGTCATTTCCTCAAAGAATGAGTCTATGAATATATTCTGGTCCATCTCTTGAGACATTAGTAAACATCCCATTTATCAAGCATGTTAAATCTTTCGAGAAATCCTCTTACTGCCCTGCCGGCAGTCAACCAGCTCCTCCTGCTTCATGCAGGAAGTGCAGTGTGTGTCACGGTTTACGCTTTGCCCCCTGTGTTCCTGTGTCTCTGTGTCTGTCTGTCTGTCTGTGTGTGTGTGTGTGTGTGTGTGTGTGTGTGTGTGTGTGTGTGTGTTTCCCTTGATTGCACTCATCCTACTCACCTGCCCAGTCCACCCAGCTGCCTTCAATCTTCTCATCACCCCACACATATATACTCCCCTGCTTTCCCTGTTCTGGTTGTCAGATCGTCCTTGCTTGTTCCCCTGTCTGTCCCTGCATTGTGTCTCCCTCGTGTTTGCTCCGTGCTCCAGTGTTTGCTCCTGGTTTGTTCCTTTGCCTTTGTTTTGTGATTTTGGATAGTTTTGCCCGCTCCGTTGGAGTCACTTTCAGTTTGACTTTTTAGCCCAAAAACCTTATTTTTCAACTTCACCTCATCTCCAGTGTCTGCGCTTGAGTCTCAGATCTGCCCTCGGACGTGACAGTGTCATCTTCAGAAATGCCTCTCTGCTGCTCCTCCTCTGCGAACGGGCAAACAGGACCATCAAGGACCAGTTGGCAAAATACCTATACACCAGAGGAGGTGAATGGGACGACCACCTGCGACAAGTTGAATTTGCATACAACACCACTGTTCACTCGCCCACCAAACACAGGCCTTTCTCCCTGGCCCATGGTAGAGAAGCCCGTCTGCCTGCTGATCTCCTTCTTGGAGATTCCCCCGGAGTTTCAAATGCCACTCCAGGTACTCCAAGTGAATATGCCAATTCTGTATTAAAGAGACTGTGTGTGGCTTTTCACTCTGTCGCACAAAACATTGGGGCAGCAGGTACTCAACAAAAGCACTACTATGAAACACACAGCCTATGAGCCAGGTGACTTGGTGTGGGTTGACCTGCCAGCCCTTGCTAGACAAAAACTGTCCCCAAAGTGGTCGGGCCCTTTCAAAGTGCTACGAATGTTAGGCTCAGGCGGTGGTGACATTGGAGTGGACTATCAACTATTGGACCCGAGAGCTAAACCTAAGATCATTCACTACAACCACATGAAATCTTATCGCTCAGCCTGGTCAGCTGAAAGAAATCCACCCTCACCTTCAGGAGGGGCTGCAGCAGCACACAGCTCAGGTCCTTCATTGCTTACTGCACTCGCCGGCTCCAGACCTTATGTTTACTGGAGTCCAGCCACACAGCGATGCTCTGTGCCGCCAGATAGGGCTCGGACTAATGTTTGTCCTCCGACTCAAGGAGCTGCCACTACCTTAACAGATGTGGAGACAATACTGCCACAGGATCTTCCAGTGAGCTGTCTCCGGTAGTGGTGCCTTTTGATGGAGTAAGAACCAAGTCTGGCCGCTGTGTGCGTCCCCCAGTACGTTATGGAACTGTTGTATGAACTTTTGCTTGTTCTTGCTGGCATACAGAAAGAAAAAAAAAAAAAAAGTATATATATACATGTATGCTGTTCTATTATTTGTTATGATCCTTGTTGTTTCTGTTTATTACTTACATCTGTTTATATTGGTGTTTATTGTAAGTTGATAAGTGTACTGTATCTTAAAAATTCAGCTATTTTGAAGCGAGGACGCTTCTTTTGTAAAGGGGGAAGATGTGTAAGACTGAAATCCTATGATGATGAGATATGACCACTAGTCGGCGCTGTTAAGGGGCCTTGATGTGACGGGGATAATGTGACGGGAGAAGAAGAGTAGTGAGAGAGTGTGATTTGACTTGGTACGGTTCCGTGGAAGCTTGACTAAAGTTATGAGGAAAACCCAAAACATGTTGGACTGATTAAAAGAGTTTATTAGACATCACAAGACATCTAACTCACAATGGTGGTGACGAACGAGCCGTCCTCGTTGCTCCACGGGGCGATAAGAGAGCGCCACTGGTTTCCAGGAAGGCGGAGCTTTATAGTGGGAGCGCACTGGGCCCAGGTGCCTCCACTTAGGACGATCAACACCTCTGGTTCCTGTTGGCTGAAAGGAACATAAACAAGTAACCACGATAGGGAACCGTCACACCCCCCTCCATAAGAACTGAGTCCTGTAGGGAATCCCAGTACCAAAACATAACTTTCATATAATACTTTTTAGCAAAACAAACTCAAAAATACCAAAAATTGGCTGAAAACCCAAAACACAACATACTTTACCAAATGTCCTTAAGTTAACAGTCCAGCATCTTTTGCGCCAGGTTCCCACTGTAGCAACCGGTGCACCTTGGAAGCATTTTAAACAGTTAGGAAGGGACAAGAGGAGAACCAAGGAAAAAAACATACAACGCTCATTGCTGGGGAGCCCTGGACAACGCGTCTGCCACCACGTTGTCAGTCCCCTTAAACCAAAACTGGATCAGCTAAACCAGCTGCATGAACATCACCAAGTGAAAGTGGCTCAGAGGTGCGCTCATAATATGGCTTCAGTAAGTCAACATGACAAAGCTGAGTTGGCATTCTACGCTGAGGTGTTGAAATTATGTCGTTTTGCGCAGAGATTTGTTTCAGCACTGTATGCACGCAAGAGGGACTTTAGTGTCTGATGGAAGCGATCCAACGCATCCTGACTCTGAGCATGGCAAGCAGAGACTTGGAAGTGCTGTACACGAAGCCGCTTCAACACCTGCGTGAGTCAGACGTAAAGCGTGAGTCAGACGTACAGAGTGAGTCAGACGTACAGAGTGGGTCAGAAGTACAGAGTGAGTCAGACGTAGAGAGTGGGTCAGACGTACTGAGTGATTCAGACGTACAGACAGATGTACCAAGTGAGTCAGACAGACAGACATACAGTTTTATGTACTGAGTGAGT